GTTCGTCCCGTTAGCCTAGCTCCTAGCTACCTGGCTCTTTAATAGGTGGAAGATAGTGGAATGGCTTTTAGCGAAGATAAGCTTCGAAATAAACAGGCTTCTGAGTCCCGCAAATAAGCAGTCGCGGACAATCAGCGACAGTACTATCAGGACGCGAAGGACCGAGGTCTGGCGCACTGACTGCCTTATAGAATTCCGCAGGTCTCAATAACGGCACTGTGATATGGCAACCGTAAGCCGCCATTAAATAGGTTTTCTTGCCATTTGTGCTTTGTGGTTGGGTTCTTTTGCGAAAGTGCTAGAGCAGCCACCCCCGAACAAACAATTAGAGCGGTTGTTGGGGCCCCGCCTGTATTCAAAATAATCAGGAAGCCTCATGCAAAAATGTCCACTTACAGTCCTACCATCCATGCGACGGCGTCCACGGGGACTGACACGCTCTGCAACCTTGTCCAATTATGCCGGCAGTTATTATGCGAGCTGGACTACTCAACGGGGAACGGCCTCTTAGTATTGGATGCTTGAATGTGCGAACACTTCTGTAACCTGGTACCCAAAGTCTGACGGCGCACACTCTTCATGAATATCACATCGATGTTTGCCGCTTGTCCGAATCCTCGAGTCGGGCGCCCGGGAAAAAATATTCAGAATCAATTTCAACTTCACTCTGTATCTTAGTGGCCCACGCGACTCTTTGTATACTTGTACTTGTTGCGGCTGCGATAATTACTGATCGAGCAAGCCTCGGTGATGACCAGGAAGGTACTTCTCCACGCGCGACGATCCGTGACAGCAGACCAGGACAGTCCAATCTATGCTCTTCGCCAGCGCCGGAGACCGAATACCGAAGGTCCTAGAACCACCTCAATGTCCTGAGGGACTGAATCGAGCCAGGTTTTGAAGTGACCCTCACATCGATGTTTCCACTTAGGTAACGGTTTCGGGTCGAGGGCAGTAACACTGAGCTCGTGAGATTGACGACGAAAAACGTGTTCTAGTCACCTCAGTCGTCTTTCTTGGATGGTCTGGGCTATCCTTGCCTTACACTTTTCTGCCATTTTAACTAAATATATTCCCTAAGTATTTGTCCAGTTCGTCCCTCCGTTTTACTCGTAAAAGTGAGTGCATATTTTTCACATCCCAGGTGAGAGCTTTAATGCCTCGCAAGTGCAGACAGAGACTTGAGAATTAGACTGTTGTTTCCGACGGTATTCACCATGTGCCTCCACAACGGGGTGGTCTACGACACATACACACACACAACAGGGTGGCTGCAGGGACGGACTTTCGCCGCATCGACCGCCCTCCTCTCTCACATGCGTTCGCTATCAAGACAGAGTCAAAAATACCGGAGGAAGGATTGGTCACAGTTGCTCGCA